AAGACCAGAGAAGAGGGAAACATATAAAATGTTGATCTAGCTAGCCAGCCAGTGTTCAGTCTGTTTTTAAAGAAGCTGAGATGGTCAGTTATTTATGGATGATCCGCTATGGCATAGGCACGGCTGTACATAAGAACATAAGAGAAGCCAATGTTGGATCAGGCCAATGGCCCATCAAGTCCAACACTCTGTCACACAATGGCCAAAAATACCAGGTGCCATCAGGAGGTCCACTAGTGGGCCAGGACACTAGAAGCCCTCCCACTGTTGCCCCCCCCCCAGCACCAAGAATCCAGAGCATCACTTGCCCCAGACCGAGAGTTCCTATCTATACCTTGTGGCTAATAGCCACTGATGGAGCTCCGCTCCATATGTTTATCCAATTTCATCTTGAAGCCATCCATGCTCATAGCCGCCACCACCTCCTGTGGCAGTGAATTCCATGTGTTAATCTTCAGGGGAAGAAATACTTCCTTTTATCCATTCTAACCCAACTGCTCAGCAATTTCATTGATTGCCTATGAGTTCTTGTGTTGTGAGAAAGGGAGAAAAGTACTTCTTTCTCTATCTGCTCTATCCCATGCATAATCTTTTAAACCTCTATCATGTCTCTCCTCAGTTGTTCTTTCTTTAAGCTAAAGAGCCCCAAGCACTTTAACCTTTCTTCATAGGGAAAGTGTTCCAACCCTTTGATCATTCTAGTTGCCCTTTTCTGCACTTTCCCCAATATTATAATATCCTTTTTGAGGTGTGGTGAGGAGAATTGCACATAGTATTCCAAATGAGGTCACAGCCATCGATTTATATAGGGTCATTACGATCCTGGCTGATTTGTTCTCAGTTCCCTTTCTAATAATCCCCAGCATGGCCTTTTTTACTGCAGTCGCACACTGTTTTGACATTTTTAGTGAGTTATCTACTACAACTCCATGATCTCTCTCTTGGTCAGTCTCCACCAGTTCAGACCCCATCAACGTGTATTTTATAGTTAGGGTTTTTGACCCCAATGGGCATCACTTTGCACTTGGCCACATTGAACCCCATTTGCCATGTTGATGTCCACTTGCTTATCCTCGACAGATCCCTTTGGAGTGCCTCACAATCCTCCCTGGTTCTCACCACCCAGAATAATTTAATGTCATCTGCAAATTTAGCCACTTCACTGCTTACTCCCAACTCCAAATCATTAATGAACAAGTTAAAAAGCATCAGACCCAGTACTGAGTTACAGTACCATAACATATTCGGTATCATGATCCATTATACTGTTTACTATTAATGTGGTACTTTACAGTATATGAGCTGATCATCTAATGTTGAGAGGAACAAAAATGGAACTAGTGGTGCATGCCCTTGACACAGATGCATTTTACAAGATCAAGGTGCAGTGTCTGGGGTTATGCACTCACTTTGTGCTGGGAGCCATCCGTATCCTTGCAGAATGAGAGCTCTGATGTTCCGGTTTGGTGTAGTGGTTAAGTGTGCGGTCTCTAATCTGGGAGAACCGGGTTTGATTCCCCACTCCTTCACTTGCACCTGCTGATGTGACCTTGGGTCAGTCACAAGCTCTGGCACAGCTGTCCTTGAAAAAGGGCAGTTTGTGTCAGAGTTCTCTCAGGCCCACCCACCTCACAAGGTGTCTGTTGTGGGGAGGGGAAGGGAAAGGAGTTTGTAAGCCGCTCTGAGACTCCAAGTGAAGGGCGGGGTATAAATCCAATCTCTTCTTCTCTTCTTCTACATGTTTATCCTAATATGAAGAGTACCCCCTAGACATAGACTCACACAAAGAGAGAGAGAGGGCCCACATGTTTAAAAGGATGTACTCCGGCAATTAAACTTCCTTTGTCATGCTATTCCCATCTGATTGTTCATATTTGAGCAACATTAGTCTCTGGTTCCTAAAAAAGGTGTGGAGATTAAAGGGAAATGGAACAGCTACAGCACAATAATTTTGATATCTCCCCCACCCCTCCCTTTTCTGTCTCTAGTTCTTACAAGATACACTTGATGCACTTTTTAATATAATGATGGAGATGTCCGACAACGAATCCTATGACTTCCTTGTATTTGATGCGCTGGTAAGTTGCTATGTTTCATCGATGTGTCCCCTCTTTAGATCTTTGTCAGCTCTGTTACCAAATGCAGTCTGCCAGATCCAGAATGTTTCCAGGGGTGTGAAAGTCAGCTGTGAAATGTTTTTAAAGGAATTCGTTCTGTTATAGTACAGTTGTTTTCCAGCTCTTCTTTTTTTAAAAAAAAAATCACATATCAGAGCTTGATGGTTGTCCCAAGATGAATCATTGAGAGGCTTTTAATTTTATGGTGGCTCTGGAAAGCCTGAATCTGTGAAAGTTATCAAGCATCAAATCGGTGGAAGGATTTCTTAAAGGACATAAGCAGAAGAGTAGGCATCTGCACTCTTTTGGGCTGTTGGCCTCAACTGCAGAGTCCAGCAGAATTCTCAGGCTTAAAAAATGAGGATGTTTCTAGTCCTCAAGAATGTAAATGAAATGTAAAACTGAAGGTACTACATGCACTGCAACTATTTCACCGTGAAGTTCTTTATAAAACAACAGATCTACAGATGATGAGTAGATATAACATCTGGAAAACATAGCAGTCAATTGGGCTTACTCCTGAGTAGAAAAGCTCATAGGTATAAGCTGAGGAACTGCTTGCCTTTTCACATTGTCACTGTATGCACAAGAAGCTTCATTTCAAGAAGGATCTGATAAACCACCCAGTCCAATTAGGAATGAACAGAGAGTTCAGACTGTAGCCAAGGCTACAAACACTACAGTGGACCTTCTGAAATTTTCAAGTGGCTTACAACTTCAGTGGAAAATTTGCAAAGTAGCCCCGTGCCCTTTCCCCCTGTACTCTTGATAGTGTTGTGCAGTGACCCAGTGTCAAACCGCTAACATCCGTTGATGTAGGCACAACAGCAATTTGCCCTGTGGCATCATAAACCATCATGTTTGATGGGAAATGCAGCTGCTGTTGGTACGGCTGAAGCCACAAAACCTCGGTGTGACATGAAACTTAAAATGGACAGGCAAAATGGGTTCTGATGTTTTTTTTCAGTTCATGGTGTCCATCTCTCCTTTCCGATAGGTATTTATTATTTCTTTGATTGGAGACATCAAGTTTCAACACTTTAATCCCGTCCTTGAAACTTACATCTACAAGCACTTCAGTGCCACCCTGGCCTATGTGTAAGTGTACAGTTTAGATGTTGCTGACGCTATTTTCCCCACAGATGACTAATTGCCTGCTTATCGTGTGCTTCAAACTGTGGTTTTGTCCGTTCTTGGCAATTATACAGCAAGTCTTTGCTTAAGAAGAGTCCCTAGTCTAGAATGCAGCATCAGGATGCTTTTATTTGGAAGGGGTGTAGAACAAAAGGAGGACAAATATAAATAGCTTCCTGTAGTGCATGGGGCTGGCCTTGAAAAATGGCCTGGAAGCTTCAAAATTAAGCTGCCTGTGGATTGACAGATATAAACCACTGTGATAATTTGAAACATCTTTATTGGCCTTATGCATGTACATGCACGCCTGCATTAGAGTTTGTCAGCCATGCTCCAAATGGCAGTGGTTGCTGGCCTTAGGTTGACTTCAGAAAGGGGTAGGGCTTGTTGTGTGGTGGAATGGAATTCCTTCTGAGTGCAGCTTTAGATAGTGCACAGCCTCCTCCTCCTCCTCCTCTTCTTTGCAGAACAGTGAAAGAACATCCATTTAGGCCTGGGACAACATATGAGGGGTTGATGGGAAAGCTTTGGTTCTGTTCTTTGATTCTTCTGCTCTGCTTTTCTGAGTCTGACTTCTGTTGGTTAGTTAATTATTTGAGGGGCTTTACATCTATGTTCTAAGGGTTCGATCTTACATAATTCACTTGGTGAACAGTCTAGGAGCTTAGTAAATAAATATGGCTGTTTCAGACTCACTTGGTGTTCATGCAGGTGTACACATTGTGTGCATACACATTACTTGTCTATTTACAATACTAATATAATGCTTTCCTAAAACTATCTCAAAGCTGTTAACAAAAGGGGGGGAATCAAATACAATTAAAACATTGCTTGTTTTGGATTTAGCTTACTCAAGACAGGTAAACTTAATGACAGTGCGGATGTGGCCAGAAAGGAATGTCTGATTAATAAAAGACAAATTAAAGGATGCAATTCTGGTGATGCAGCCTGGATCCCCTCATAAGGCTGTAATAGGGCACAATTTATTTATTTATATCTTCGATTTCTACCCCGCTCCAACCCCGAAGGGTCTCTGGCTTACAAGTTCCAAATTTATCCCTAGCTAAGGCCACATATCTACAGGGGTTGGGGCTGCCTACCGGCACCCATGTGGCAGGGCTCGCTGGTTTTTTTTTCTTAGTTCTTTCTCGAGCGGTCTTTTTGGGTGTCAGTGCTCAGTTCCTGGTGTGGTCGTCCGGTCCGGCGGCTTCTTCTTTCTCTTTTTCTTTTCGGCGGGCTCGTCTGGTATGTGGTTCGCATCGGCTTACAGCCCAGCTACGTCCGTACGGCTCCGCTGCGCTTGCGTCACGTCACCACAATCCCTTGACATGAAAAGGGCCTAATGATGCAGCAGCCTGGAGCAGGCCTCTCTGTGGAGAGAGGCTGCTGAGATGGGTCCGAACACTATAACTCCAGGAGAATGGGCCAATAGCACGGAGTGTGCACACTGCTCAGAAGAATAGGCATGAGAAGATAAATACTCCAGTTCCCAGGTACTGGAGCAGCTGCCATTCAGCTCAATCTACTTCTTCCTTTTAGAAGCATTGGGTTTAAAACCAGGCCTTGGGGTCCACCAGAACCATGCTTGAAAGGAATTTCAGCCACTCTGTCACTCTGATGTCTTTTCTGCCAGGTGGCCCTTGACTAAAGAGCACCAGGTGGGTAGGCTTTACTCTGCAGGGAAGCATTTTCATCCCCGTACCACTTCAATTTCTCACATGGGTTTTTTTTTTTTTTGGCCGCTGAGAGCTGGCTGGAGTTGAACTGTTTCCTAGCTAATAGTGTAACAGAAAGGAATGTCTGATTAATAAAAGACAAATTAAAGGATGCATTCTGGTGATGCAACCTGGTTCTCCTCGCAAGGCTATAATAGGGCACAATCCCATCTCCCCCTCCCACCTGCTCATGTTGACTCCGCCATTTTACTTGCACATTTTCAACCTGCAAAGCAAATGGGGGCAAGAGTCTCATATGGCTCTGAATGCTCCTGATCACCTCTCCATTGGATTGTATGCTTTCTGGGTTCTCCATGTCGCTAGAGCCTTTGGGGATGTCAGCTTTCCTCTCCTGTGCTTGGAGCCAAGTGCTCATTTCTCTTTTATAGAACATCCATTATCCTGGTCTGGCTATTCATTGTAAATAAACCTTTTCTCATGCCTTTGATTCACGGGCTTGTTCTACTTCAGCTGCATTTTTGCTTGCCAGCTTTGTGACATCGTACTGGGCATTTGTATCATGCCACCCAGGCAAAGGTACTGCACGCCAAGGAGTTGCAGGGAATTACGTACCAGCAGCAAAATAAGCCACACTGTGACAGCATCTCAGCAGAGCTTCCCCTCCCCCCTCCCTCCCCCCAGTTTTCTTTGGATTTTAGAACCAATGTTACTAGGTCAAAATCAATTATCATTTCAGATCCAGATCTTGACAGCAGCCAGTAGTAGAGGTTGCACTGAAAAAAATTCCCCATCCCTGCCTGAGGATCCCTGCCTGAGTTTGCCAGAAGCCACCCAGACAGCTTCATGGTGGAGGAAGTGGGTCTCTTAGGAAGGGCTTTTCCATGTAGTCATGTTTTAAATGCACTTGGAATTGGGTTTTGGAAGAATGGCTATATGCTTTCTAACTGCCCCCCCCCCAGTCTGTTTAAATGTGTAGTTGTGAGCTGGGGGGAAGACGACTGAAAAGGTAGGCATCTTGGAGAAAGCATACAAGCTGCTTTACTGTACAATGGGAAATATCTGTGTAGTACTTTTGCAGGTCTAGAGGCAGTTTACAATGAGGCAGTATAAAACCACAATAAAATATGATGCTTCTGATCTTGGTAGCACTTCTCTAGTGGGGTGTCAACTTGACAGCATTGGCCAGTGGGCTTACCATGATGCTTAAGACATTTTTAGCCACAAGAGTAGTAACTACCATGCATGTATGCATTTAAAAGGCTGTAAGCCACTTTTCTGCTTTAAAAGTAAAGAAGAGTACAGTTTAGCCAGAATAACCCCACCAAGACCATTAAAATGTAAACTAAGAGTTGAAACTGTCGTAAGCAGCATTAGAAAAGCAAATGAAGATCAAAATCATCTGCAGAATCAGCCATTCACACCAGTCTATGGAGAGGCAAGCATATAAATTTTCAGAAATAAAAGTCACAAAACATTACAAGTTCTTAACCTGGAGCTAAAATGAGGAGGAAAATAGTACCTGACAGATCTTCCTGGGAAGAGTGTTTCGTCAAAGGGGTAACTTCCCTGGCAAAGCCCTGTTCTTTGGTCCCCAGCTACCTAATCGCTAGAGACAGAAGCATCCAGAGAGAGGCCTCTGACGCAAAGTCCAGCTGGGTCCTTCAAATCCTTCCGTCTACCCTTCTGTTAGTCTTTCCCAGCATGTGAATCTTGCCTTTAACCTTTGTCTGTCGTATCAGACTGGAATTTCCTGTGGCTGGCTCTCTTTTCCATCCCTCCTTGTCTGGGAGCGGCGCAGAGCGGTGCACAACTCCTGAGGAGTGTCTGCCTATGCTCGGCTCCTTCCACAGCTGTGGCTGGCAAACCCAGGCATGAGGGGTCAGCTTTTACTGCTCGCGCCTCCCGTGGTCGTGGGAGAGGGAGAAGCCTTCTGAGTTACTCCCCAGTCTGGTTTGGATAAGCCATCTAGTCCAGCACCCTGTTTCCCACCCGGATGCCCCAGAAGGAGCACAAGTGGAACATAAAATGTCAAAGCTTTCCCCTGTTGTTGTCTCCGGCAACTGGTGTTCAAAGATATACTGTAGCCAGTATTTAAAAGTAGCAATCGGGAGCAGGGGGAACTTGTTCCCTGCATTTCCTGGGCCTCTCTTACTTAAAAAATTCTATGGCTCAGTACTTTTCAGATTTAGTAATCCCCTCTCGACATAGAGCTTTCATGCTGGCGAAATTCAATATATTTCCCTTGGCTGTGGTCAGAGGTAGCTATAAGGGTATCCCCTTGAGGCAAGACACTGCAGGTGTCACTGCAGGGAACCCGACTCTATACAGCATATCCTTTTACACGGCCCATTGTTTACTCAGTTACGTGTACGTTTGATTGGCCCCTTCCTTCAAACCTCTAAGACCACGACCCCTAGAGGCATTCAGTTCTTGTTAGCAGATAAACTCCCTGAAATTACAGAGCAGGTGGCAGAGTTTTTGGCAAATGTGCAAAGGAAAAGGAGAAGGGAAGAGGGGGAAAGGAGGGAGAGAGAGAGTGAGAGAATGTATAGTGTCTAACCATGTTTTATAATGTTTCTCTTTCCTTCCCTGATGGTTAAGCTCCCTCGCTGCAAGTGTGTTTTTTTTATAAAATTTCTCTTTTTACTATTATTACTACTACTATTATTGTCATTCAGAACTACAGTTATTTGCATTTGTACTGCTTTTATCTTGGCTTCTTGGCTGTTTGGCAAACTGTGTTGTTAGTTCTCCTTTGATGTTATAGCTGCGCCAATAAAGGTGGTGGTGATGATCATGAGGATGAAGATATACTCCCTCCAAACACAGACATTCCATTTATCCATCACAATATTGATTGCTCCATTTTTCCATCATGATATGGCCTTTGAACCTCTTTTTTGTGAATTTGTCTAGTCCTCTTTTAAAGCCATCAAAGTTACTGGCCATTGCTGCCTCTTGTGGCAGTGAACTCCATAAGTTAATGGTGTGTTGTATGAAGAAGTGCTTCTGAATATAGTTCAGCCGAGGGCTTTCTTGTTCTTTAGTCCTCTCCTTGCTGTCTAGTTTGGCCCTCCATTGATTGTTTTCTTCACCCCCCAGGAAGCTCACCAAGGTTCTGAACTACTATGTAGGGAATGCAGAAGATGCCAGCAAAACAGAGTTGCTTTTTGCTGCTTTGAAAGCCTTGAAGTACCTCTTCCGGTTCATCGTTCAGTCAAGGGTTCTTTACCTACGGTAAGCAAGAGGCAGAAAATGTGGGCACATTTGGCACTTCTCCTCTTTAATTGCTAAGGAAACATGGAGTAGTTTGGCAGTGCTGTTACCCAGCTATTTCTCCATTCAGCTAAAGTATGCCTGCTGTTTCTTCCTGTTTCTTCTCAGTGCATGTTTCCTGTCTCCATCACTCCCATGTGAGCAAGTTTGGGGAAAACGTATATGCATTTAAAATCCCCTTTTTGCAGGCCCAGACTGAGAGAGTGCTCCTGGGAACTGGCCATATGGTACCTTCTCAATTACTGAAACCGTTGCCAGGTGAGGGTGTGTGGCTGTTTCGGCACCTGCAAAGGTGTACAGGAAGGACATGAGAGCGCGTCAGCCTACTGTGCTGTGGGCCGAATCAGGATTGGGCCCTAGCTGCATTTTTAAATTGTTTTCAAATGGCTGTGGAATCTCTGCAGTGGACACGAAGACACTGTCACATCTGGTTTGGCCCTATGGGAAGCTTAACAGTGTGCAGTTCATATGGGATGAAATCTTCAAAAACCAGAGATGGGGACTGAAAAGGATTCTGGTAATCTTAAAATGGGCAAAGAATGCTCTGTCATCTGCTAGGAGTCTCTGGGTATGATTGAGAGCCATGAGAGAGTATAGGTGGCATGCACGTCTTAGAAGCGCTGCCTCCTCTGCAATGAAGACTAGAAACATGGGGGGGGGGGAGAAATCCAGCTTCTATTTCAGGTACAAGATTTATGCTGAACGTATAGGATTAAAAATGCTATAGAGCCCTGCATCAAATATCCTATTTGCTTTTGTTTATCAAGAATCTTAATTGATCTCATTGCACCTTCCCGTGCACAGTTTCCAAGGAACTGAGCGAAGAGGAACTAGAGGTTCTCTTAATGGGGTTGGAGGAATTCCCCTTGATATTCATGCAACATTTGTTTCCAGGGAATCATTTACTCACTGTGGGAAAGCCCAGGTCTTTAAAGTGAGTGGAAATAAGCAGCTCCTTTGCTATGAATGAAACACTAAATATAAAATTAGCTTGTCGCTTCCTCTTGTGTGTCTGTTAAATGTCTAGGGCTGAAATCCTAAGAACACTTTCCTGGGGGCAACCTCTGTTAAATGAGACTTGCTTCCAAGTGGTCCTATTTAGGATCACTTTCTAAGGGCCAAACTACACAATACATTTTTTGGCAAGTCAGGTCCAGGTTCTCTGGGCCCAGTTTGCTTAATGTGATCCTGATTCAGCTCAAAACTGTGGCAGGGTGGGAGGAGAGCCAGGGAGTTATCTGCATAACTTAGGAGCTGCCTGTGCTTGTACTGTGTCATTTCCCCCCTCCCCTTATTTTTTTGGCTGTCAAGTCATAGCTGACTTATGGTGATCCTGGTGGGGTTTTCAAGGCAAGAGACGTTCAGAGATGCTTTAGCATTGGCTGCCTCTGAGTCATGACCCTGGTATTCCTTGGTGGTCTCCCATCCAAATACTGACCCAACCCAAGACTGACCCCACTTGGCTCTCAAGTTCTGATGAGATCAGGCTAGCCTGGGGTATCTGGGTCAGGGCCATTTGGCCCTAAGTATCACCAAAGTAGCTCAGTATCACCAAAGAAGGGAAGCCCAAAATACTCGTATATCAAGAGATTTTAAACATGCATTTTGAAGAATATTAACTATGGTGAATGCTTTTTGAAGTTGTAGAGTCCTTGATTTTCTAAAGAAAGAAAGAAATCATAATACCCTCAGGATGCTGAGTTGTTTTTCCAGTACCTGTTTTCGTGCAGCATAGTTCCAGAATGGTGAAGTCCGTGTAAAGACACAACACAACTCACAAAGTGATGAAGTGAACAGTAGTGCTGGGACTGTAATTCAGATGAGGGCATTAGATTTTCTATGTAGAAATTTCCAAGCCTTTGTAAATCAGACCCAGCCAGTCTTGACTTTTTAGCCTGGTTTGGGATGCTTTGCTGCCACCAGATTCTGCTCCCCCAGTTTCCTCTCTCTTCTCCTTTCTCATAACTTACTTTGGTGAAACACGGTATTGTGCCAGTGTGAGCTGGTGTGTAGTGACAACATCTTTAAAGCCTTGCCATCCTATGGGCCATCTCTTGTTGACAAGAAATCTGGAAAACAGGGTTCCATATACCTGCCTGCTCAATAGAATGAGCTGTGAGGCATTGGAAATTGCACGCTCTAAGCTTTTAGGGGGCAACAAAGGAAGAGAACAGCATGGTGAATCAGGGAGAATTTGTTCGCCGCTAATGAATATGCAGTCTTTGTTTAATGTGTTAGTGTCAACATATGTCAACTCAAACGTCAGTGAATTTGCATGTGTGAAATTAGCACGGAACTAGCTTGTGATTGCTTGGCCAGGTTGTGACTAACATCTTTCAAAACCCAGGTACATCAGGGAAAGTTGAGTTTCAGTTTGGCTGCATGTCAAACCATTTGCAAGAGTAGTATTCTATGCACGAACCGCTGTCAGGAGTCTTCCGTTATCTTGAACACGTTACCCAGTAGTCATGTGAACCAGTTTTTCTCTCCTGCTTTTGAGAACCTTCAGCTTTATTGAAAGAGAGCCCTTCTGCTGCCATTTTTCAACTGTGGCTGGAGAATGGTTAGTTGGCAACTGACATTCATTCTCTTTTTTTCAGATTTTATGGGAAAAGCGAAGATGGGGATGAGTTTAATAACGCGATCCGCAAGCTGTTCCTCTCCTTTAACGTCCTTATGGACAGACCTTTAGAGGAGGCTGTCAAGATCAAGGTTGGTACAAGCCTCTTCACCATTACTTGAAATAAAGAACTCTGTTGAACTTAC